TCCCAAAAGGGGCGGGTTTTTTTTCCAAACCCCTTTTGATGGGACCACTAGTTTGGCCTGGGAGGGGATGGAGGAAACTCAACCGAGTCAATGTGGGGACATCACTGGTATATTTTCTGGTTCTACTTTGTAGCCTCCCTAGCGGTCTGATTATGTCAGTATTTCTGTGCTCAAAGCGGTACACTTTTTTTGCATGGAAATATGTTGTTTTTTTATTGTAGGCCTGTAATTCTTAGGAATAACTCACTGAAATCTGTTCCGAACAAGAGTCTAGTAAACATCCGAGTATGATAAATTTGAAAACACGAAATCATAAATTATAATATAATAAAATAATCATAAAAAAATAATAATATAATAATAATAATAAAAAATTTAATTCAATAATATAATCAAACCAAAAAAAAACACTGAAAATGTGAAATAGAGCGCCAAATTCGCACATCGCTGAGCTCAGTCGCAGAATCGTTTTCAGTGTCTGATGAGGAATTTCCCCCACCAATCATTCTCACTCAATTTTGCAATGTTGGTTCTGATTCTACTATCGCTGTTCAATCTAGCCGGTCTAAACCGGTCTGACCTAAAAGGGAGCTTTTTGTGACAGCATATGGACGTTTCTCAGTTTCCAGGCAGAAAGAACAGTAAAACTGCATCGCGCAGGCCGAAGGTCTATGCACTCGGAGACAAATGTATGGGAAACTGTGTTTGATACATGGTATGTTTACTATGTGATCTTTTGTGAAATTTTCTGTGCATGGCACGTTTTACAACTTTTTCTAATTTCCCGCCAGTTCAGTCCCATCGTCACGTCTCACGTCGCTTGCAGGCAACACGCGATCCCAGGTAGACAGAGTGCTGAATCATCTGGCTACGGGGTGGAACATTTAACCGGGGATCTCTGCTGGGGGGACAATCGCTGGTCCGATTGAGATAGGTACACATGGTTAATGTCGTCATGCATGGATAACGGAGTCAATGCTTGCTGTGTTTTCCACGTGCAGGGGCGGACTAACCATTTAGGAAACATAGGGCACATGCTCGAGGGAGGGGTCAGTAGGGCGCCGCCAATTGATGATGGCCCATTGGTTCCTTTGTAATCAGGCATTTTGGTGCTTCGGCGCCAACGGACACTGTGGGCCCACAGGTAATTCCAACTATTTGCCCGGGGGCCTCATGAGTTCCGTCAGGTCCTCCCCTGTCTCCGAGTGTAGCGTCGGGGTTGTACATCTTGTGCGTCGCTCATGAACACATCTTGTTTTCCCACAGTACGCCGTTGGGAATACCACAACGCGGGGGTCTTTGGAAAAATCTTTTACTACCTTTACAAAGTTGCCTGTACTGGTTGCCAGGAAACCACACCTGGTACTTCCCTCTAAGCTAGAGTTGGGTACACGTTCTGCGTGATTTAGGTTGGTGGATGGTTTGGTGATGGACGCGGTGTAGTCGGACGTCAGGTAGCAGGTAACACATTTCTGGGTATTACTGAGTACAATCTGGTTTGGCTGGAATCTCAGGAGGTCATCTTACTACTGGTTGGTTGTTTTTCATCGCAGTGTTGAAGATTCAACTATACTGGTGGGGTTCCAGGAAAGGCAGTGGGGTGGGGTTCCTCGGGGTGGCAGTGACCTGTTGCCGTGTGTGCGGTCTTCCTAACATGATAGGAGACAAAGTGGTAGCGGTGATGAGGACACAACAATGACCCACCAGAGCGAGAATGGTGGATAATTCCATCTTCTGGAAATGAGACAAGACACTGCCAACTATGAGAGAAGTCAATTTTCTCCCAACCCACCATCTTCACATTCGACTAATAGTGACACATTACAGAGCATCCAGAATGTATTCCCAGAACTTAACTTTTGCCACATTTTTGTTATGTTGCTGGCACCTTATTCCCATAATGGACTAAATGAATTTTTTTCCTCGACAATCTCACAGAACACACATACCCCATAATGACAACGTGAAAAGAAGTTCTTTGCAATTTATTAAAATAAAAAAACGGAAATACCGTATATACAGTGGGGGATGGAAAAGTTTGGGCACCCCAGACTAAAATGTTTGTATTCAATGTGCATAAAGAAGCCAAGGAAAGATGGATAAAAAATCTCCAAAAGGCTTTCAAATTACAGATTAGACATTCTTATAATATGTCAACTAAAGTTAGATTTTATTTCCATCATTTACATTTGCAAACATCAACGAGAAACAACAAAAACAAAATGGAGGTCTGCAAAAGTTTGGGCTCCCTGCAGAGTTGAAATATCTTGTACTGCCCCCAAGTATCACAGCTTGTAAACGCTTTTTTGTAGCCAGCCAAAGAGTCTTTCAATTCTTGTTTGAGGTATCTTTGCCATTCTTCCTTACAAAAGTCTTCCATTTCTTTGAGATTTTCTGGGCTGTCTGTCACGCACTGCTCTTTTTAAGGTCTATCCATAGATTTTCAATGATGTTGAGGTCAGGAGATTGTGAAGAGCCATGGCAAAACCTTCATTTACGCTCCTCTTGATGTAATCCCCCGTGGATTTCGAGGTGTGTTTAGGATCATTATCCATTTGTAAAAGCAACCTCTCTTTAACTTCAGCTTTTCACAGATGGCATCAATGTTTACCATCCAAAATTTGCTGAATTTTATTGAATCCATTTTTCCTTCTACTCGTGAGATGTTCCCTGTGCCACTGGCTCTGCAACACAACCCCAAAGCATGATTTGATCCAACCCCATGCTTAACAGTTGGACAGAGGTTCTTTTCATTCAATTCTGTGCCCCTTCTTCTCCAAACGTACCTTTGCTCATTCCGGCCAAAAAGTTCAATTTTAACCTCATCGGTCCACAGAACTTGTTTCCAAAATGCATCAGGCTTGTCTATATGTTCATTTGCAAAGTTCAAACGATGATTTTTGTGGTGAGGACGTAGAAGAGGTTTTCTTCTGATGACTCTTCCATGAAGACCATATTTGTACAAGTATCTCTTTATAGTGGAATAGTGTACCACAACTCCAGTGTCTGCCAGATCTTTCTGGAGGGATCGTGCAGTCAAACGTGGGTTTTGAATTGTTTTTCTCACAATCCTGCGAGCTGTTCTGTCTGATATTTTTCTTGGTCTTCCAGATCTTGCTTTTAACCTTCCACTGTTCCTGATGACTGCCATTTCTTAATGACATTCCTAACAGAGGATATTGACATCTGAAAACGCTTTGCTATCTTCTTATAGCTTCTCCAGCTTTGTGAGCGTCAACTATTTTCAGTTTCAGTTTTCTAGACAACTGCTTAGAAGAACCCATGGTGCTGATTGTTGGGGCAAGGTCAGATGAGTCTGGGCATTTCAAACCTTTGAGATTGACATCACACTGGTCTTCCCAGACGATGATTGAGAACAATCCACTGACAAATTGGCAGGTCTCAGCTTTGGCAAAGGGGGCAGTGCATGCTATAAATTCTGCAGGGGGCCCAAACTTTTGCAGACGCCATTTTTTGTTTTCTGTTATTTTGAAAAGTTGTAAATGATGGAAATAAAATCTTAACTTTTGTTGATATATTATAAGAATGTCTAATCTGTAATTTGATGCCTTTTGGAGATTTTTCCATCTTTCCTTGGCTTCTTTATATGCACATTAATTTAAAATATTTAGCTGGGGTGCCCAAACGTTCGATCCCCACTGTAAGTATTCTCAGCCTTCACTCAGTACTTTGTTGAAAGCCCCTTTAGCACCAATTCCAGCCTCAAGTTGTTTGGAGTACGATGCTACAAGCTCGGCTTCATCTATTTTTTGGGCAATTTCTCCCCATTCTTCTTTGCAGGGTCCTCTCAAGCTCCAACGGAACGTTCAGGTTAAATCGGCTAAATACATTCCAGGTAGGGACGGGACTGACAACTCATGGGGTCCCCGGGCAATAGGGGATCATGGGGCCCCTGTGTCCTTGCCCAAACTCAAAAAAGCCTATGAAAAAGGTACCAGGGGCAACTCATGGGGCCCCCTACTGACCCGGGCCCTCGGGCAGTGCCGAGTTTCCAAATGGTCAGTCCGCCCCTGATTCCAGGTGTAAACAGTAATCAAAATTTTACTGTTTAGTTACAGCCTGAGTAGCAAAGCCTGTCCCCTTCCAGCATGCTTCAGAGAGGCACCTTGCACTCTATGGGGAAGCTGTAATCTCTATTCAGGAGTCCAACGTACACTATATTGCCAAAGATATTGGGCCCCCCTCCAAATGTGATTCGGGTGTTCCAATCCCCTTCAAATCATGTGATTCAGGTGTTCCAATCCCCTCCCAATCATGTGATTCAGGTGTTCCAATCCCCTCCCAATCATGTGATTCATGTGTTCCAATCCCCTCCCAATCATGTGATTCAGGTGTTCCAATCCCCTCCCTATCATGTGATTCAGGTGTTCCAATCCCCTCCATATCATGTGATTCAGGTGTTCCAATCTCCTCCCTATCATGTGATTCAGGCATTCCAATCCCCTCCCTATCATGTGATTCAGGTGTTCCAATCCCCTCCCAATCATCTGATTCAGGTGTTCCAATCGCCTCCATATCATGTGATTCAGGGTGTTCCAATCCCCTCCCAATCATGTAATTCAGGTGTTCCAATCCCCTTCATATCATGTGATTCAGGTGTTCCAATCCCCTCCATGGACACAGGTGTATACAATCCATCCCCTAGGCATGCAGACTGCTTCTACAAACATTGGTGAAAGAATGGGTCGCTCTCAGGAGCTCAGTGACTCCAAGCGTGGTCCCGTGATAGGTAGCCACCCAAGCAACCAGGGGCAGACTGACAACTCATGGGGCCCCTGGGCAATAGGGGATCATGGGGCCCCTGTGTCCTTACCCAAACTCAGAAAAGCCTATGAAAAAGGTACCAGGGGCATCTCATGGGGCCCCCTACTGACCCCGGGCCCTCGGGCAGTGCCCGAGTTTCCAAATGGTCAGTCTGCCCCTGATATATATATATATTTGTAACACATCCCATCCCCCCCTGACTGATAGAATGTCAGTGAAGTTCTGATTAGGGGTCCCAATGGTTAAATTTCAGACTCTGGCCTAGGGGAGGGGAGGCAAGACTGAAGGTTTGTTCAGCACATCTGTCACCAGATATCATTGTGGGATTTTCCAAATGGTCAGTCCGCCCCTGGTTATTATATTTCTATTTATTCTAGATTGGGAAAAGTAAGATAAACAGACTTTTATAGTCTATGTGACTACATATGTATGTAAATATATACAGTATATCTTGTTTTTTTCTGTATATTCTAGCAACATGTGGTAGTAATTAGTCATGAATTGGCTAGCTAGCTTCCCCCCCCCATCTCTGTGGGTAGGAGCTAAAGTTCCACTAAGAAGAGGATTGTAAGAATCAATTTCATACATGTGAAGCATACAAGATTTATACTGTAATATTTCTTGATTAGGATATTTATCTACGATATAACTTTATATTAAGAATACTTTTGGGAGATATATTTATTTATTTCAGGTACTTATATAGCGCTGTCAATTTACGCAGTGCTTTACATATATAATTGTACATTCACATCAGTCCCTAACCCTCAAGGGGCGTACAATCTAAGGTCCCTAACTCGTAGTAGTAGAGTAATAGAAATCCAACAGACCCAACAGTCATGACATGCATGCTGCTGATTCTGTGTCATTGAATCACTCATTGAAAGGGGCGTGTTCACAATAATAGCAGTGTGGAGTTTCTATTAGTGAGGTCATTCATTCTTTGAAAAACAGGTGGCAATTATTGCCCTTATTTAAGGAAGGAAGGCAGCAAATGTTGCACATGCTGGTTACAGTGCATTTCTCTCTGAAATTCTGAGGAAAATGGGTCGTTCCAGACATTGTTCAGAAGAACAGTGTACCGCGATTAAAAAGTTGATTGGAGAGGGGAAAACATATAAAGAAGTGCAGAAAATGATCGACTGCTCAGCTAAAATGATCACAAATGCTATAAAATGGCAACCAAAACCTGAAAGACGCGGAAGAAAGCGAAAAACTACCATTGGAATAGATAGAAGAATAGCCAAAATGGCGCGGACTCAGCCAACAATCAGCTCCAGGAAGATGAAAGAAGGTGTGACGTTCCCTGTGAGGACTGTTACAATTAGAAGACGCCGATGTGAAGCCAAGCTATCTGCAAGAAGTCCCCGCAAAGTCCCACTGTTGGGAAAAAGACGTGTGCTGAAGAGGTTACAATCTGCCAAAGAGCACATTGACCGGCCTAAAGAGAAATGGCGCAACATTTTGTGGGCTGATGAAAGTAAGATTGTTCTTTTTGGGTCTAGTGGGCGGAGACAGTTTGTCAGACGACCCCCAAACACTGAATTCAAGCCACAGTACACTGTGAAGACCGTGAAGCATGGTGGTGCAAGCATCATGATATGGGGATGTTTCTCATACTACGGTGTTGGGCCTATTTATCGCATACCAGGGATCATGGATCAGTTTGAATACATCAGAATACTTGAAGAGGTCATGCTGCCTTATGCTGAAGAGGAAATGCCCTTGAAATGGGTGTTCCAACAAGACAACGACCCCAAACACACCAGTAAACGTGCAACATCTTGGTTCCAGACCAACAAGATGGACGTTATGGAGTGGCCAGCCCAATCCCCGGATCTTCATCCAATAGAAAACTTGTGGGGTGACATCAAAAATGCCGTTTCTGAGGCCAAACCAAGAAATAGAGAAGAACTGTGGAATGTGGTCCAATCATCCTGGGCTGGAATACCTGATCACAGGGGCCAGAAGTTGGGGGACTCCATGCAACACAGATGTACAGCAGTTCTCAGAAACAGTGCGACTACAACCAAATATTCATGAAGTCATTCAAAGGAAAGCAAAATCTTCAAACATTTCTCAGTTTATATAGTGAATGTTTGAGTTTGTAAAGAAGAATACAAACACGGCCATTTTTTTGAACCGTCTAATATTCACTTTTCTTCCATTTTTTTTAGAGGAACAACACAAATTTGATGTATTTTTCTTCATGTTGTGATTTGGAATAGAATGTGTCGTGTTCCCAATGCATTTGTGTGGATGGAAATAAAAGCTATTAGAAGGATTTTCAGCTTTATTCACTTTTTTTCAACACACTGCTATTATTTTGAACACAACTGTATATATATATATATATATCAGGGGCGGACTGACAAATCATGGGGCCCCCGGGCAATAGGGGATCATGGGGCCCCTGTATTGTTGCCCAAACTCAATAAAACCTATGAAAAAGGTACCAGGGGCATCTCATGGGGCCCCCTACTGACCCTGGGCCCTCGGGCAGTGCCCGAGTTTCCAAATAGTCAGTCCGCCCCTGATATATATATATATATATATATTTGTAACACATCCCATCCCCCTGACTGATAGAACGTCAGTGAAGTTCTGATTAGAGGTCCCAAGGGTTAAATTTCAGACTCTGGCCTAGGGGAGGGGAGGCAAGGCTGAAGGTTTGTTCAACACATCTGTCACCAGATATCATTGTGGGACTATAAAGCCAGGTTCACACTAGCATCAGTCAGGCGTTTGAGAAGCGTTTTTACCGCTTCTGAAATGCCTATGAAAATTCTGCACATGGCAGCACATTGTGGTGTTCACACTGAAGCATTAGCGTCGAATCGCGTTGCGTCGCGGCAAAACTGATGCCTCATGACGAGTCAGGAGGAGTTGAAGCTTCCCATTCAAGTCTATGGTGCCGCTCCTCAAACGCCTGGCAGGCGGTGGCGGGGTGGTTGCGAGGCATTTGCGGAGCATTAACACCATTTAACTTCATTATAGGCGTTTGTGGTGCGGTTTTAGCGCTTGGCAAACGCCTATCAAACGCCACGCATAGGGCGTTTGGGGAGCGTTTGAAGAGTGTTAAAAACTCTTCCCAAATACCTGTCTAATGCTATAGGGGCGTTTGGCAAGAGTTAGAAATAAAGTCAAAAGTGAGCGAGCCCTAATGCCCCGTAAGAAAATCGTCTGAAAAATTTAGCGGAACCGCTGATCGAACGATTTTCTCTTGGTTGATGAGCGGGATGTTTTAACCGATATTGTGAACGAAAAAATCTGGTTGAACAACAGTGAGAAATGTTGTCGTTTCGCATACGAACGACCGATTTTCTATGCGGCGATATGACGGTTGTATGAAAAAAAATAGAAGATGACACGGATGTTGATGTCCACGGAATCTTCGTAGACACGAAAAATCCAAATGTTAACAGTAGATCGGCCGAATGAGATGATGAAACCAGAATTCTGCGCATTATATTTTATGTATCCTACTATGTATAGAGGTCATGTAATAAACGATATTATACTCATTGCTGGTCATTGTTGTGTATATCACGCGTTCTGGCCGGAAGGGCGTGGCCAGGGGTGGACTGACCATTTGGGTACTCGGGCACTGCCCGAGGGCAGGGATCAGTTGGGGGCCCCATGAGATGCCCCTGGTACCTTTTCATAGACTTTTTTTGGTTGTGGTCTGAGTGTGGGCGAGGACACAGGGGTCCCATGATCCTCTATTGCCCGGGGGCCCCATGAGATGCGTCATTTTAAATGGTTTTAGGTCTGTGTGTATTGTCTCATACTGAGGTGATGGTAAACCAGGGCGAATGCCCATATGTCATATTCATTTGTGTGTAATAAAGCATAATTTTTGGAAATTATTCCCTTAGTGTCACGTTCTGTTCATTATGCAGCCGCTTTTCTGTGAATCTCTTTTCACAACCCTCCTTTTTTGTATGCCCCATGAGATGCCCCTGGTACCATTCATAGACTTTTTTGGGTGTGGTCTGAGTGTGGGTGAGGACATAGGGGCCCCATGATCCCCTATTGCCCGGGGGCCCCATGAGTTGTCAGTCCGCCCCTGGGTGTGGCTACAAGGTCACACGCACACCGCATCACTTCCACTTGTATGGAAGATGTCGATACTACGTATTGCTCGACGAATGATTGTTTTAGATTGGTTAATGTGGGCCACGATTTCAAACAACGAACGAAGGCCTCTAGCTGGGTCGTCGGATGACCGATCAGTCGATTTTCTAATCGTGTATTCCCACCATAAGAAACAGAAAGGAAAACCAGCCCACTTTTAGGAGAAGGTGGGGGCTGAATTGCTCCTTAGGGCTCATGTACACTGCAGCTGATAAACTCGCGTTTAGGAGCTGTTCATCGTTTTTTTCAGCAGCCCCTGAACTCTCCCTAATGTTCTCCTATGTGTCCGTGTATACATCTTCGTTTACAGTCAGTTGAGTTTACAGTCGTTTTTTTGAATGCAACAAACTTGCGTTCAGATGTCGATTTTATCAGCATTTCAAATGCAAAACGCTTGTAAACGCGGCTAAACGCAGGAAATTGCATTTATAAGTGTTTGCATTTTTTTTAATCAGAGCCTTTTTTCATCATGAAAAATGTATGCAAAGAGAGTTTTCAAGGTGCTCAGATGGACAAAATACTGAACACAGGATGTTCCTACCAAGCTTGTCACACATTGTAATGACCAATTCACACCCTCAGACCTCTCCCACTGTCAGGGCAGGAGCTGAGGAACGGACAGGCAGGCCTAACAATGTAACGCACTGGCTGACGACAACCACCACCCACAGACCGAAGTCCCTCAGGGCGCGGAGTCTAAGTCCCAGGCTGCCCTTCACCAGGGCCCCTGATGGTGGGGATGGACTTGACGCAGCCAGGAACCAGGTCGCGGCCCCCGAGACACCTCAGCTGCGGTAATGGCCGCCGCCAATGGCGTGTAGCTGGTGGAAGAAACAAAAGAGTAGTCAGACAAGCCGGGGTCAACAACAATAGGACAAAACAGTACAGGACAGCAGACGAGAATCACAGGTCACGAGCCGGGTTCAGCAACAGAGGGTCAGATCAAAGGAGAATACAAAGAATAGTCAAGTCACAAGCCGAATCAGAATACCAGGAGAGTCACGAGAGTCAGAACAGAGTAA